GGGGTGGCTAGAGACAATAGGCATTCTAAGTGGATGGCTCAGCCAGGGTGAACACCTAGGCTTGACACAGCAGGTGTCTTAGAGCAGCAGCTCCCAAATTCTTCTTTTTCAGAGTCCACTTACAATTTTTACTATTACTTACCTATATATTAAACTAGCTTAAAATATTTTGTAATACATTTGTTTAAAGGAAGCTGTCTCACTACAAAATTGAAATTATTTTAAATCATGGTTTGGTGGGCTATTAAAACACATTAAAAGAATCACAGTAAAAAATATTTGTATTGTGCATCAAAAAATCACTTCCCCAAGCAATCTTTGGGACACCTGCTGTATGGGAAACTTCTCCTGACTATGACCAAAGGCCAGATACACTAGCGGCAAGCCTTGTCAGCCTGTTCTTTCTGGCACAAGCTGCACACAGTAGGTGCTTAGTAACGATTTTAGCTTGGGACTGTATACATGGGGTACGATTTTAAGAAAATAGGCCCCTTTCTAGTCATTTTCTTCCATTCATACTTTATATCTCTTATCTTTTCTCATTCTGGGATTGTGGGGTTAAGGAGGTGAAAAGAAGCAGAGGTTAAAGAAATGTCAATCTCTGATTGAAAGTTTAAATATTTTTACTGTAAAAATTCTGTAAGAATAGACTTACAGGCAGTTGATACTGCAGTTCAGTTGTGGTCCTCTAAACAACTTCATGTTTCTAATGTCACTTGGAAAATCCTAGCAGACCCCCATAACATCAGATCAACCCCTGAAGCTAGCGAGGAAGGAAAAGGGCTACCTTGGTTCTGCGTAAGTAATGAGAGGTCATCAGTGGTTTGAGGAGTAAATGTTGGTTTCAAGCCATTAAATCCATAGGAAGGAAGACTCCTAGGGAAAAGGCACTAAACAAATTGCTTCCTAGGAGCAGAGACAAATCTAACCCAAAAGAAAAAGAACTTTTTAAATTTTTTTATATATGGCTGATTTTGTTTCTAAAATCGCAAGCTTTCCGTGACATGAGATTTTCATTTATTCAACAGACATTTGTTGACTACCGATTATGCACCTTGCTGAGTGCTCAGAATTCAGCAGTAAATAAGATGGATGTGGTTACCGTCCCCATAAAGGTTAGAGTCTGTGGGGGAAGACAGGCATTAACAGACCATTTCTTGAGTGATCAGTACTACAAAGAAGAAATACAAGGGGCAAAGTCCCTGTTTAACAGAGAGACCTGCCTTGGGGTATATGATGAGGCAGATGGGGGAGGGGAGAAGGGTCATCGGAGACATCCATGTTTTCACTGAGAACTGAGGGGTGATTAGGGGTTGGTCAGGTACATGGAGGGGGGTCAGAGGAGAGCCTTCTAGGAAGAGATAACAGATAGGTACGTACCCCTAAGGTAAGATTTCCTCAAAAAACTGAAAAGATTCTAATAAGGAAAGGACAAAAGAAGCATTTTTTTCTTGCCTTTTCGCACAAGAGTTAGAAGGAAGTGGTAGGCCAGACTTATAAATAGGACCCCACAGGCAAACCTCTTTAGACCCTTCTCTCTGGAAATCTTCACAATTTGTAACCACACAGAAACTCTGTTTCTTTTTTTCCGTCCTCACCTGAGGATATGTTTTTTATTGATTTGAGAGAGAGAGGGAGGGAGGAAGAAGAACATCGACGTGAGAGAGAAATACTGATTGGTTACCTCCCATGCGCGCCCCTACTGGGGATCGAACCCGCAATCTAGGTATGTGCCCTAACTGGGAAGTGAGCCCACAACCTTTTTGGTGTTTGAGATGACACTCCAACCAACTGAGCCGCCCAGAAACTCCATTTCTTTAACACAGTCCTGTTTATCCATTCCTTTCCGTGCTCGTTAAGCCCTTAGGACTGTCTGGTATCAAACAGTCTGAAGAAAAAACCTGGTCTGTTGAACACAGAATATCGGTCAAGCTATAGATAACACCTGACTGCAGATGTTTTCAGCCCCAGGCCCATGAAAGCAGAAGGACCCTAGGGACCACACTCTCATGAAACCTGCAGAATGATGCCATGGCTGACATCGGGACCTGGTGCAATGATCAAGTACTCCCTACCCCGGCCCCAACTCCTTTAGCCACCGTGATTAATGATTTTTCCCCATATAACCCATCCCCGGGAAGCCATCGGGAAGCCAGGTCTTTTAGCATCAGTTTACATGTGATCACAGGCTTGGCACCATTTCCTCACTAATAAACCTCTACTTTCTTGCTGCAACTCCTGTTCCCATTTGATTGGGCTTCAATGCATGTAGATGAATGAACCCCTTTAGTCCAGTAACAGATTTAGGTTTTCTGGATCAGCTGATGTTGGAGAGGGAGATATCACTTATCTCCCTTTCAGGATTAGTTTTCCAAATACTTAAACATTAATTAAAGTGTTCTGAAAATAGGCCTATTAAGTACCAGTTGTTAGTTCTGCTTGTTACCTTGAGTTCCCTGATTACAGATTCTGGTGTATGATCAGTTACAGTTTGGAGCTGAGGTTCTTAGAGAGAAGGAAACTAACTAAAGCCACACTTAGCAGAAGATCGCTGCTGTTCTAATGTGCCAGACCTTCGCTTTCCTCCAGTGTCTGCAGTCAGGGCCGTCCCCGTGGTAGCGACAGGGAAGTGAGGCGGTCTTTGAAAGAAGTGAGTTCAGAGGCCCTGCCTCTCACAGGAACTGACTCAGAGATTTTCTGTGAAACCATGGGATTTTAGGAAGAGCCAGAACTCAGAAACCCTTTCCTTTGAGCGGGAAAAATGTCATTTCATCTGGGTTTTTATTAACAACTGGCCACAGAGCATGATGTTCTCTCAGTTTTTATTCATTCTTTTCAAGCATTTTCTCTGACGCATCATGGACATCAGAATTGGTGTTGAATATAACTTTAGTCCTATTAACTTTTGAATTTTAGTGCTTTCAAGTTTTTCATCAAATGGTTAAGCCTTGGTTCATTCCTCATTGCTCAAGAAAAGTCACAGGGTCAGGATAAATAGGACAGACAGTCACATTTGAAAGATTCTCTGTAAGGTGAATTCTTTGCAGGTACTTAGAATTTCTGGATAAACACCACTTCCAGCTCCCGTCTCCATTCTTTAGTTGCTCCAATTCTCATAAATTCATGACTGCCCTAAAGCATGTGTCATCCACCCCTCATGGTCAGAGGTAGGTCATGTGCCCAAAGGGCACTGAGCAGCCTACTTCCTGATCCTGATGAGCCTGTTTGAGGAAAGCCCAGGACTCCTGAGGAGGTGTCCCAGGGCCCGGCTGTGCTGCTCACTCTTCCAGTCTGCCCTCCTGTCTTCTCAGCCTCCCATTTGTTACAGATGGGACAGGATCCACTCTCCAAGTCTGACTAATCAGACTCCTCTAGTAGTGGACCTTTTTTTCTCTCTTTCCTGAATTTAAATTTAATAGTAAAGAAATAGGATGAAGTTTTTGCCTAAGTAAAAGAAAAAGGAAATTCCTAATGTCCGTCAGCAGGAGAGTGCACACGGGATGACTTCATACAGTGGACTGAGTTGCAGTAGTGAGAATATATGAACCAGAGCCACATGGAACAACATCAACAAATCTCACAAACTATATACAGTTTTTAAACTTGCTAAGCAATACTATATAATGTTAAATGTAAAGATGTGTGTGAGAAACAAATTCAGGATAGTGTTTCCTTCTAGGAGAAAAGGGGAATTTGGTTTGGAGAGTACAGTGGGAGTTGCAACTATATATATAGTTTATTCTTTATGGTTCATTGTGAATATGTGACTGTTAATTATATTACTCTCTATATAATTTTGTATATCTGAAATACTTCATAATAAAAATATAACAGGGATTTAATTTTTAAAAATATAGTTAGCACCTGGCCGGCATGGCTCAGCAGTTGAGCATTGACCTATGATCCAGGAGATCCTGGTTTGATTCCGGGTCAGGGCACATGCCTGGGTTGTGGGCTTGATCCCTAGTGGGGGGGCTTGCAGGAGGCAGCCGATCAATGACTCTCTCATCATTGATGTTTCTCTCTCTCTCCCTTCCTCTCTTTGAAATCAATAAAGATATATATTTTTAAAAATACAGTTAGCTTTAGGTAATGCATTTAGGTCAGGTCTTAGCCAAGTCCTCTGAACATAAAATATTGATGTTTCGGAGTAAAAATCCAGAGGGGCCACAAGATCTTCAATTATCATAAATATTTTCAATTCTGATTGCACAGTTCTTATGTGGACAAGGCAGTAGACCAAGAATGTTAAGTATCTTCAACAAGATTATGCTGAACTAAGAGTAGAACTGAGCCTGCAGACACAATTTGTTTGGCCTTCATGGTACTTACATTTTCAAAAGTGATTAGTTAGTGTCTCTTTAGAGACTTCATATTTTAAAAGTCTGGATGACCACCTATTAAGCTATCAGGAAATCTGGCATCCCTAGGCCCTCATTTCTACATGGCAGTGGCTGGCTGGGGCTGAGTAGCAACTATCCCCTTTTAAGGGGGCATGTCCTGTACACTTGGCCACTGTCCCCACCCAGCCAGGTCCCTGCCTGGCTGGCCCTGGAGGAACTTGAGCTTGCATCCCCTGCATTAAATTCAGTTATTCAAAATATGCCTTCTCCTGGGCACTCAGGTCAGTGACATAATTTTACCAGAACACATGCTGAAAGCCTCATTCCTAAGATACTCTGGTAAAGCGTTCCGGTTTAAAGAAGAGTAAATGTGTATTTTGGTCTTGGCATGTTTGTAAGAATGGCTGTCGTGGCAGGTAGCACGGCTGAGCAACCCTCAACCACGTGGTGATGCACAAGGCCGGCAGAGAGAGATGGTTTTCCCACAGCGCCTTTCTAGCAGTGCCACCAAACAGATTGGTTGAGAAAGAGCAATTCTAGTTTAATTAAAGAGTTTGATTTTGTTTTAGGTGCACATCTGCCTGGCTGCCTACTGTCAAGTTGGATTTTTATGCAAATTTTCTCTCTCCTACTTTGGTGGGTCCGAGGATGACGACAGCAACACGACAAGAAGTTCTTGGCCTCTACCGCCGAATTTTCAGGCTTGCGAGGAAATGGCAGGCGGCGTCAGGACAGATGGAAGACACCATTAGAGAAAAACAGTACATATTAAATGAAGCCAGGACGCTGTTCCAGAAAAACAAAAACGTGAGTAGCCTCAGTTGGAGATTTCATGGAGGAAAGCAGCTTCTTGTGTTCATTTATTTCTTTTCTGTCCTAAAATTGGGAGGACTGAGCAGCCACAGTGCAGAGCATGGGCAGGCAGGGGCCAGAGGCGCAGCCTGCTTGGCCTGCGCGGCCACCGGGAGCAGGAGCCCCGCTCGGGTCTCGGCATTTGCTTCAGATCCCGGTCCAGCCGGTAAGTGGCTCAGCATCCTCAGAAGACTCCAGAGCCAGGCCAGCGAAAGCTTCCAGGGGGAGGAGCAGTCCCTCACATGCTGTGCCTGTTGCAGGCCACTCCCACAGGAGGTGCACAGTTTATTTTTCTTAATTCATAAACTATTCTAAGCTTCCAAGTACAAACCCATTCTGAGGGAAGTGGATAGGACTGAAGCACAGGGTTCCCTTTGTAACTTAGCTCTGAACTGAGCCTCTTTAGCTGGCATAGTGAGTGTGCCCTCTGGGACACAGAACTGGGTACAGTAGTGCTCCCATGAATTTGTCTAATAGTACACACCCACCAGGGGCCAGCCTGGTGCTGGGGATATCACAGTAGTACGTGCCCAGTAAACCCCTGTAGGCTCGCTCGCCTGAGGACTGCCCAAGACCCCTTGGGTTTTCAGGTACGGCAGCAATCAGTCCTCCGTTGGCCTCCGCTTGAATTGGCCCAGTGTGGTGTGAGCCAGAGGGCGCATATGTGCCGGTCACGGTACATACGTGAGATTCTGTTGTGTTGGGAGAGGTGCAAGGGCTTTTCGTTTTGACATATGGGCTTGTTTTACTATGAATTAGAAAGAAAATAGAGTATCAGGTAATTTCACAAATACTGTGCTTAGGAGAGTGCATTTAAAGAAAAAGTTTAATGTTGTTATAGGTGGTGTGTAGATATGGCCAAATCATGCAGGCAGCCTCTGAAAGGTGGCATTTGGCGAACTTTAACCCAGACTTGTTCAGATGGACAGCTGGAGCCCCAGGAGCCCTCAGCCCCCATAACCATGGCTTTATCAGGGGTTTCTTTTCCCCCCATCCCTCGCTGCAGACGGACATAAGTAGTTTCTTATAACCTCACTTGCTGTAAGAGCTTGATAATAACCCAAAGGTATCTCATGAATGGCTCTGAATCTAAGAGACAAGCGGGAAGGAACCTGGGCATGTTCCCAAAGCAGACAGCAAAGCAACAGCTTCTGAGAAGCACAGAGGTCAGAAAGCTGAGCTCTGCCCCAAGGGACTCTGCTGGCTTCTGTGCATCACAATTCCTGGAACTCCCCTCTGCTCCAAGAGGTGCCATAGGACACAAACGCACTTGGAGTTTCCAGGCCATGCAGCCCAGACTTCCCTGTGGGTGTCATGTGGGGCTGATGCAGTCCCAGCCCTGGCCTTGAGGTCACTTGCAAACTCTTAGCGGAGCTGAGTGTTGACTCACTTGGCATCTTCAGAACAAGAGGCTCTCTCCCCTTCACCACCAAGCTTTCTGTTTTTCAGAATGAACATGTCATTCTTTTACTTGCAACTGAACTGCCACGATTTGACATTTTTGGAATTTCAAAAGCCATTTCTTCCCCTTACTAATGAGCAAGGCAGTTCACAGTTCAAAATGAGAGAGAGGTGAATCATCCTCCCTTGTCTAGACAGCACTTTAAAGTCGGACCAACGTGGGGAGGATGTGAGGAGGCCTCTCAGTGATGTGGGAATATAATTTATTGCCTGTTTGTGGGAATTTAAGCCAATCAGCCTCTTAGATCAGCAGTTTTCAACTAGTGTGCCACAAGAATTTTTATCTATTCTTTTTTTTAATCCTCACCTGAGGGTATATTTTTGTTGATTTTTAGAGAGAGAGGGAGAGAGAGAAACATTGATGTGAGAGAGAAACATCGATCAGGTGCCTTCCCATACCCACCCGAAGCCCTCAACCTAGTTTTGTGCCCTAACCGGGAATCAAACCTGCAACCTTTTGGTGCACAGGGTGACACTCCAACCGAGTCACCCAGCCAGGGCTGCAAGAATTTTTAAAACATGCAATACCTGACTATTTAGTCAGGGGCATTGACCTCTTTTCCCTGAGATTGTCAAATAAAACAAAATTAGCCATCAGTATGAATGAATCAAAATTATACCTATTTTTTGTCAGATTGGCAAAAAATATATTTTTGGGGATGCTGCAGAATTTTAATAATTAGTTTATGTGTGCCAGGAGATGAAAAAGGTTGAAGATTGCTGTCTTAGAGGGTATTTGAATCTAGAGGGAATATCTGTGAGAATTAAAGATGCATGAACATATACCCTTTGACCCACAATTCTTTCTCTAGGAAATTATCTTTTAGATATATTTACATACAAGCCCAAAAAGTTTAGAGGAATTCATAACAGATTTGTTCATAATGGCAAAGATTGGAGATAACCTAAATGTCCATCAGAATATTGGTTAAATTATGTTGGAATTTGGTGCAGCTGTTTAAAAAATAGGGCAGTTTTATATGTAAAAATATAGAAGGAGTTTCAATTTATTAGTGGAAAAAGCAAAGTTCAGAACAAAGTGAGCTATCGTTTGTGTAAGAAAAAAACCTTGAGTGGATAAAAAAGCTGTGGGACATTCACACCATGGAGTACTATACAGCTGTAAAGAAGAAGGATCTTGTACCCTTTGCAGCAGCATGGAGGGACCTGGAGAGTATTATGCTAAGTGAAATAAGCCAGTGAGAGAAAGACAAGTGCTGTATGATCGCACTCATATGTGGAAGCTAATGTACAAAATAAGCTGACAAACAAAATGGAACCAGATGCATGAATACATGGAACAGACTGGCCAGTGCCCAAGGGGAGGGAGTTGGGGGTGACTAGATAAAGAAGGTGAGAGAAATAGCTAAAGAACATATATGCATACCCCATGGTCATGGACAGTAATTTGGTAAAGGCCAAGGAGGGGAGAGGCTGGAAGGGTGGAGGTTGGCAAAGGGTGGGGTGGAGGGGACTCCTGCAATAATGTCTATATTAAAATTTTTTAAAATTAAAAAACACACAAAAAGAAAAACCTACATGTATACATGTGTGCTGATATATGCAGAGAATACTGCTGGGAGGACAGACAAAAAACTGCTGGTAATTGTCCTTGGGAGGGGAACTGGGATTTTGTAAGTTTAATCCACAGTAAATTTTATATTACATTGTTTCTGAATTTTTGAATTATCAATATTTAATTTACTGGATGGCAAACCGAAAATATTTCAGAAAACGTGCACCTGTATTCTGTGTAGCATCAGAGACGCCTGTTTCCCTCTCACCAGCTCACGGACGCAGCGCTGGTGAAGCAGTGCATAGACGAGTGCACGGCCAGGATCGAGATGGGGCTGCACTACCAGATTCCCTACCCAAGGCCGGTAAGTGACTGGTTAGCGTGGGGCTCCTACCCTCCACCGAGTGCTTGTCCCGAAGCCCGAGCCATGGAGGAGGCACGTGGGGACAGCCGTGCTCGCGGGCCCCAGCCGCCCAGCCCGGCCCAAGTGCCCGACGCCTGGCTTTCGCTCGTAGGGCTTTCCCCTGTGCAGGAGCGAAAGCCAGCTCACACCCGCATAGCTTTCTCTTTAGCCTTTCACTTTCTATGGAAAGATTTTCTTACTATATGACAGGTTGGATGTTAATAAAAGAATAAAGTTCAAACTTTAAAGGAATGCATAAGGTAGAAAGTGAAATTTGTCAAAAATTCGTACCCTGTGGACGGGACCCCTGTAGCTGTTGTGTTGACCTTACGAAACTGCCCGTTTTCTACCCGACCTGCAAAACCAACTTTATATTGTATTGGCTCAACCTAAGAGTTTGGTAATGTACCCGTGTAGTCTTTTCTTCTACACTCACGTACATACATTTTCTTCCCTTAAAGTGCGCGGCGTCCGGGGCGTACTGTTTATTGCCTCCGTATGTTACCCCGTGGCTTCTGGCCATGTCTGCTCCCTCTGTTTACAGGGTTGCCGTGTGTCCTGTTGTGAGAACGAGCCCCTCCGGTGGGCATGTCGGTGGGTCCCAGTGTGCCACCCGCACGCGTCTTTGCACACGCTCTTCCCTCGCCTTTGCAGTGTCACTTCCCTGCGTGGCCTTGGCCATTTTTCCCCACGCAGGCAACACGCAGATGGGGCCCGAGTGCTGCTTCAGGCAGCTCTGGCTCGGACCCCGCTCCGCCACTTCATGTGTAGCCGTGGGCCTCCACTTTCTCATCTGGAAGTGTGGGCATGGTTCCGTGCGAGGCGACTGTAAGGGTTAAGGTAACGACTCGGTGTAGATTTGGCGCTTAGCAGAGAGCACGGTATCCGGCAAATCCTCGGTGAGCGCACGCTGCCGGGGACTGCTGCTTAATGTTACCCTTCCTCTTCCTCAGGTTCATCTGCCTCCGATGGGCCTTGCCCCGCTGCGGGGCCGGGGTCTGCGGGGCCAGGACAAACTGAGGAAACTTTCCAAACCGGTGTATCTCAAGTCCCATGATGAGATTTCCTAATCCAGAAGAAAGCGCATTTCTCAGATGGCCAACTACATCCTGAATGTAAACCAGACGGGAAAAAATTCAAATATCTCCTTAAAAACCTCCAAAACATTGGGCCTCACCGCATGATGTGTGCTCAGTTTGTCGGGGCCTTGCTGTCTGAGGGGACTCTAGTCCTAGAGTCACAGACCCCTCATCCTCCCTGAAGCATCATTTGGAAACGACTAAGGCCTGTGGGAGGAAGACTGAAGAATGACAGAGCTGCTCGTGGAAATGCCATCACCTGGCGTGTCAGCTGACAAATCACCCAGCTGCTGGGAGTTCTCATGGCTGCTATCAAACAATATACCTCTCAGAATATTTTTAGGCTTTCTTTTTAAGTTATAAATCTGTTTAAAAGTGGCCTTTTTTAACTTATATGCATAAATGCATAACCCATGGACACAATGGTGTGGGGAAGGCCTGGAGGTGGAGTGAAGGGGGTCAGTGGGGGGAAAAGGGGGACTGTAATACTTTCCACAATAAAGATAAAATTAAAAATATATATATATTAAAGTGGGCTTTTTTTTTTGCTCTGGCCAGGGTGGTTCGTTGGTTGGGTGTCATCCCTTGCACTGAAAGTTTGCCGATTCTCAGGCAGGGCACATGCCCAGGTTGCTGGCATGATCCCCAGTAGGTGGCGTGCAGAAGGTGGCCAGTCAGTCTTTTCGTTTTCACATCGATGTTTCTCTCTCTCTCCCCCTCCCCCTTCCTCTCTCTCTAAAAATCAGTAAAAAATCTTTTTTAAAAATGGGCTTTTTTGGTGTATTTTGTCATCTTTTGACCCAGTTTCCAGATGAACACCCCTTCAAAGGTACACCATTGGATTGATCATGGTTTTTCACGGATATTCTATGAGCCCCATCCCTGCCTCCTTCATACACATGCACAGAAGCACTTGTCCAGTTAAATGCTTATGTTTACTTAAAGCATGTAATTAGGGTCCACTTCGGACTTGAAAGGCTCACTTGAAACTCATACTGCATCATTGTAAGTATTTTGCCTTTAACAGAATTTAGAATGTACCAGGGCAAAGTTGACTTTGAAATTAGGTCTAAACAGAAATGGAACGAGGAGCGATTAACACAAAGGATTAACACTCCGCATGTGTGGAGCCAGGTGAGATTCCCATGGCACGTCATCTGGACATCAGCATCATTCCTTCTCACCTCCAAAAAGAATGGGCATCCCCGATAAATACAGATAGCGATTTTGGTCTCACTTCTTTCCCAAAATGGCCTTGTGACCCACAGAAGCAGCAGTTGATAACTTCCTGCCCACACCTAGACTTAGGATTCCCTTGTCACAGATCCTGTAATTCAAAATAGGCATTATATTCCAGTCTGTAAGCAGGACTGTAGTTTTTCATGCTCCAGGTAAGTGTTGCAGGGTTTGGTAATGAAAAAATTTATATATATATATATATATATATATATATATATATATATAAATTT